TCACAAGATCACATGCTTCAAAGGGCAAAAAGGAGAACAAAGATCACCTGCTTCTGAGGAAACAAGACAAAGGCAAATTCAGAACTACTGATAAGGGTCTATGTTCAGTGGTGCACGTATTGTCTTGATAAACATCTTAAACAATAGAAAACAGGGTCGAGAGCAGATAACTGGTCTGACCTCAAATTTACCAGGGTGGGGTTTTTTCCCCACCCTAATAAGCCTGAGGGTACTGCAGGAAACCAGGTCATATTTCAGTCCTTATCTCAACTGCATAAGACAGACACTCCCAGAGCGGTCATTTATAGACCTCCCCCAAGGAATGCATTCCTTTCCCAGGGTCTTAATTATTAATATTCTTTGTTAGGAAAAGAATTTAGTGATATCTTCCCTACTTGCATGTTCATTTATAGACTCTCTGCAAGAAGAAATATATGGCTGTATTCTGCCCGACCCTGCAGGCAGTCACACCTTATGGTTGTCTTCCCTTGTTCCCTGAAAATCGCTGTTACTCTGTTCTTTTTCAAGGTGCACTGATTTCATATTGTTCAAACACACAGGTTTTACAATCAATTTGTACATTTAACACAATAGTGGTCCTGAGGTGACATACATTCTCAGCTTACAAAGATAACAGGATTAAGAGATTAAAGTGAAGACAGGCATAAGAAATTATAAAAGTATTCATTTGGGGAACTAACAAATGTCCATATTAAAATGAAATCTTCACAATTTACGTTCAGAAATTGAAGTAAAGACAGGCATAAGAAATTATAAAAGTATTATTTGGGTACTGATATATGTCCATATTAAAATGAAATATTTACAATTTATGTTGCTCTGCTGCAGCTCCAGCCAATCCCTCCATTCAGGGTCCCTGACTTCCTGCAATAGTACTGCATTTCTCATGAGATGATATGTGTAAAGTGTTTGGAACAGAATTGAGCACATTGTAGGTACCAGCTCTTAGAGTGATGAAATCTCATAAGAGAAGATGATCAAAGACTATGATTGTCTTGAAGAATCTCCTAGACCAGGGATCAGCAAATTACAGCCTACAGGCCAAATACAGCTCTTTGCTTTTTTTTTAAATAAAGTTTTATTGGAACACAGCCACACCCATTCATGTACACATCATGTATGGCTATGTTCATGCTACATCAACAGATCACATGACACACAAAGGGGGAAATATTTACTATCTGGCCCTTTACAGAAAAAGTTTGCCAACCTTTGTTCTAGAAGGTAACAACTGTGAAGGGTCTGAAAGCCTAGCAATCCATCCATGCTAGAGAAGTGGGAAAAGTTTGGAAAATGTTCTCCTAGTCAACATTTTGTCAGCCCCTGGCATGGGCCTGGCCCACCGACAGAAACTGATACAGAGGCAGTGAGGCCTGACCCCTGCCCTCCAGGAGTTCATGGTGTAGTGGAGGAATAAGTGAACAGACCCATCACAGTCCAGCAGGTAAGTGCTAAAACAGATGAGAGGAAGGGACTGAGCAGGGGCTGCTCCCCTTGTCAAGGTTAGTCAGAGAGAACTGAGACAAGTCAGGCTCACAGATAAGGAGAAATATGCTAGGGCAGTGACAGGGAGCAGGAAGAGCCTGCATAAGTCAGGGTCATGAATAGACTGCCCTGGTGTGAATGCCCAGGGCCTCAAGTGGCCACACAGGCTGTGCAGTGGAGGGCAGTCAGCAGGCAGCAGGTGCAGAGCTGCCCTCCTTGTGTTTCATACTAGGAAATGAGACTCCAAGAAATGTTCGGTAAAGCAGGAGTGTGGAGTGTGAGAGATGGGTAGGAGATCCCAGCCTGAGCAAATGATCCCGTGATGATGCCATTAGCCAACAGGGAACATTCTGGATAGGAAACCCAGAAAGGGCAAGTAATCCCCACTCACTATTAACAAATCTCATCTCCTCTTTACTAACTCACTCCAAATGCTGCTTGCTACAGGCTCACATCCCATCTCACCTAGAACTTCCTACAGGCTCACATCCCACCTCACCTAGACCTTGCTATGGGCTCACATCCCACCTCACCTAGAACTTCCTACAGGCCCACATCCCGCCTCACCTAGACCTTGCTACAGGCTCATATCCCATCTCACCTAGAACTCCCTACAGGTTCACATCCCACCTCACCTAGACCTTGCTACAGGGCCACATCCCACCTCACCTAGACTTTGCTATAGGGCCACATCCCGCCTCACCTAGACCTTACTACAGGCTCACATCCTGCTTCACTGAGATCTTGCTACAGGTCCACATCCCACCTCACCTAGACCTTACTATAGGCTCACATCCCACCTCACCTAGACCTTGCTACGGGCCCACATCCCACCTCACCTAGACCTTACTATAGGCTCACATCCCACCTCACCTAGACCTTGCTACAGGCTCACATCCCGCCTCACCTAGACCTTGCTACAGGCTCACATCCCGCCTCACCTAGACCTTGCTACAGGCTCACATCCCGCCTCACCTAGACCT